GCTCAGTCTCAGTCCCTCCGCGTTGTGTCGGTGCGTGGCGCTGACAATCCGGCCGATGTATATTTACCAAAAACCGCGACTTGGCCTCGGGTTTCTTCGTTGAGGGAACGGTTTCAGCCCAAGCAGGGACACAAGTGGCTGTTTGTTGAGTTCTGTGCGACGTTGGAGTCAGGGTTCTCCAGGGTCTGTGCTAGGGAGTTTCCAAGGATTCACGTGCTAACTCTGACCGCCTCAGACGATGGGACGAAGAAGGAGACTCGAGGAGATCTCCTGATGGAGCTCGACGCCGTGCACAGGAGGGTGCCCTTACCAGCGCATGCATCTTCAGAGGTATGGGGCTGGGTACCAGAAGCATCTTGACGGCTCGTGGGCCGTACATCGAAAGCTGTGGGCCGTTGTCAGGGTTATGTGTGATTTTTCCGATCACTGGGCCATCGGGTGGCCAATGAGGTGCGCTTATTGGCACCTGAAAGCAGACCCAACGCTACTTCAAGCGACAGGGGTATCCTATCCACGCGACTCTCGTGGACGCGTGCTCTGTGGGGCTTCTAGGGTGTCAAAGAGTTGGAAGGTTATGGACGCGCATGACAGGGTTGCGCTCCGCTTGGATGCGTGGAAATGCTGAGGACTCTGCGCATTTCGTGCTCAGGGATACTCTACATTATCCGGGTCTTCTGTGTAGACGGGTTTTGGAGGGTTTAGAGTGACTAAGTTCCTCTGCTCAGCCATTTCACCTCAAGATGTTTCCTGTGGATTGTGGTATATAATCCCGCCGGAATGGACCACTACGGTCTCCAGGCGTTCAAGGATGCCATGGTTTCTTTCTCCGCGACCGACGGGCGGCTTAGTGAGCAGCTTTTGGAGAGACTGCTTGTCTTTACGTTTGCCACAGGGTTTGTGACAGGGTGCCTGCACGCCTGTTTCTTGGCTAAGCCAGAACAGTGGCCAGAACTTTTCCTTACCACAAGGGCCGCTGTCAAGAAGGATGGCTGACCCGAACGCCCAGAGGGGGTGTAAACAGTTATCCCTGACTGAGGGATAAAGGTGGGCGTCCGGCTCAACTCTTTTAAATTTCTGGAGTTTCCTTACGCTTGGAGTGTGAGGGGGCACTTTTCGCTTTAGGGCTGTAGTCTCTGTAAGTTCCTTCGCTTTCGGACGTTTCCGAGGGAGTTTGGTAGTACCTGAGGGCTTTTCAGAAGTGTTTCTAGAGCTCCAAACCACCGTTTGGTAGTTTACGCCTGTAGTCTGCTGCAAGACTTTGTGCCTACGTTGGCTCAAGACCGGAACTGCGTGGCCGAGTGAAGTAAAGCGCAGACTCCGTTCGAGTGTTGTGCTTGGTGAGTGCTTTGCTCGGGGCTTGGTTGTAGTTCCGTCTTTTTCGGTATTCAATACCAGGTGTGGATGGAATGATGTTTTTGGGCGAGTGTGGACAGTGTGTGAATGCACTATGCAAACATTATTCTCCATCTGCACCACATGTGGTAATTCACCACGTTTCGGAAGCGTAGTTGAGGCCTAGGTCGGACAGGCAAATTCGTTTAGCGCACCATCAAAGTTTTGATAGATGCGCTAAGTCAATTTGGCAAGAATTTTTTGAGCTCACAGCCCAACAGTGCGATTGCATCTCTGTCTTAGCTCGAGACTAACAACTTCATTTGCGCCCTTCACAGGGTTTGCAAACGGGAACCCTCTCTGGCAGCGTCCCGCCCCCATGCAGCCTCATCGCCCCATGTCTGCTTGTTCCACCTGCCGCATCCATTTACTTGACCCCCGCGCATCTTTGTTTGGTTTCAAAAATGGCGGGGCTGCAGAGATCTTGCTCCGAAGAATTCTGCCTCTTAATTTGTTGTTTACCCAAAATCTTTCTTCACCGACCGTTTTACTCACCCTCTACCCCACCCCGCTGCCTTTCCACCCTTCCCGTGCAGCCCCTCCCGTCCACCCCTCCCATCGCATGAAAACCATCTCATGTCCCTGAGACGCCATCTAGTTCGTGAGGCTATCGCGTTTAATTTGATTTAATTCCCGGTCGATTTCGATCAAGGCGGACTCAACAAGGAATGTGCGTGCACTCGACAAGTAGTTACGACAGTTACGAGTTCTTGATCTGTTTCTTTTCACGGTTGTGTTTTCAGAAGCGATACAAGGGGTTGAAAAGCAAATACAGGGGGTCGAACAAAAAACATGCCCTTTGTAAACCAATGTGCTTTGCTTCAAGCCCGGTAGGGCTTTTTATGCATCACAACCCACGAGCAAACATAGTGGTGTTTAAGTTCATGTCTACGGGCAGGCTGCCCCCTTGGTTACGTAAGGTGCAGCAGCAATGCCACACATAGTAGCAGCAGTACAGCCGGCAGCGAAGGATTTCACAGTGATTTGGTTGCTTCTTGTATTTTATCTTCATCCGTGCTGCTGCGATGGGGAGCACGTGCTCTGCGGCTTGGGCCTTCCACCAGGAGTTTCAGAAGCCGCAGGCTATGTGCAAACAGTCCGGATGATGTTCGCCTGTGTGAGTCATCAACTGGGTCTGCTACTAGATCCGATGGAGACGATTGCCATTGCTGCGCATTTTGCAATTGCTGTTTTGGTTGTTGTCGAAAAGCGCTTTTTGGGGTAATGGCCTGCGGCAAGATTCAGATATCCCACATGCAATCTCGAAGTTTGTAGTACAGGCTGGTGGTGGACATCTGGCCGAACCAGAAGAACTGCATGGTTATTTGGTGGTGTTGGCACTTGTTTCGCCAGCTTCTGGGCCAGACAAGGCGCTGCTGCAATATGTGAAGAGAATGAAAGGTTTCTAGATTCTAGTCCATTGCAAGAAGAGGTCGAAGTAGAATTGGGCTTGCTGATCTCCAAGCAACATGCCCCTGGCGCGGTGCCACTGCGCGCGGGGCCACCATCCTTGCAGCGGACGAGTTCTGCGACGGCCCCGAAGAGCTTGGGCGGCTTAGTTGCGATGAGACTGTACAAGGGCTGGATATTTGGGGACGGATTGCCCAGAATCCAGGCCGGCCGCCGCGGCTCATGCGATTGCGCTCCGAAGTCGGTCCTTCTGCGACGATGCCCGGGCTCAGGCGCTGGGCTGTCCCCGCACGTAGCGGGATTCATCGGGGTGCTGGTAGTAGGTTCCTCGGACTGAGCGCTTGCAGCCCAGGCGAATAAGCACTGCACTAGACACAAAGGCCGGGCACCCTGCTTGTGCGGCAACTTGTAAGCGTGCATGACGTGTGGAAGTTCTGCTATAGTATGCTCCAGGTAAAGGGCATCCCAGCGCCTTGGAAAGACCGCTGGACCCTGCCTGGAGCCACGTTGCGGCGTCGTGGGTCAGCCCTCCTGGGCGAGCTGTCGCTGCGGGACTTGGAGGACCTGCTCTCGCACGTGTCAACCAGGTCAAACTCCCGAATGTTTTGGCTCAGGGCTTGCAGACGTTGATCGGCCGCTTGTTCGCAACATGCTTTCCTCCTGCATGCGGAAGGTAAAGAAGGTAATTGAAGATTTGAATTTAGGCCGAGAATCCGGCCCTGAGAGCCGTTTTAACTGCACTCAGGTGAGCAGACAGCCCTTGACCTTTCTCTGGAAGTGTCGAGCGGGACTCCCGAATTTCAGACGCAGGTAGCTGCGAGTGGGGGCTCGGCTTGGGGACACTGAATTCAGTTTCGACAGAAGCAGTGGGAAGGCTTTTCCCTGGAGTTCGAGCGTGACGATTCTGTTGGCCATGCGATCAGCTGCTTGGCCAATTTGGATATGCGTTGTCCGAGCAGTAGTGGCTGCCCATGTCGAGGGGGCGAGCATGTTGGAGTTGCTGCTTGGCAGTCATAGATCGATCCCAAGATGTCAACCCAAGCAGGACTGTGCAATAGTCGAGAGTTCTCACGCATTCTCAGGTATGAGCAAGCTGCTGCAGCAGTGCTGCAAGAATGGGTGAAGCAGCTCGGCGTCTTCTGTCAGCATGCCCACTAATCTTTCTGCGTTGTGTTTACGAAGATGAAACTTCGAGATGTGCGACATACCCAGGCGCTCCATCTATGCTGCTCCTCGAATCCATCTAGACTGTCGTTGCATCGCGCGGTAACTGCCAGCGCATAGGAGCATTCGGTATCCGGGAAGTACCGTTGCAAGCCGCCAGTCCTCATACCTTGGTCGCACAAGAGAGAGGCCTGCTACTTGCATTTTTCGCTTCTCGCGCTCTTCACAGAACAGTTGCTGCCGGTTCATCCCAACGGTATGCTGCTCGAGGCGGGCATGACTAAAGTGGCTGCTGCTTGAAGCACCTTTTGGTCTGCTCTGGCTGCAGGCATTGGGGACTGCCTTGCAGAGTCTCGAGGCAAAGTGATGTTCAGCTCAGCTCTGAATGTCAAAGCGAACCCGTGAAGGATGGTGGCTTGGAGCACGTCGTGGCTTCTGCGGCCTGCTTGGGGCAGGCATACGCCCATGTTTGTGCGGTAGGATTGCAATAGTCACGAGATGAGATCATCTTGCAGCCGAAAGACGACCGAATCCTGTGACTGTGATCAGGTGGTCCTCAGGGACGGTGCCATTCCCGAGGTGCCAAACTTCTGCTGGGAGCTCCTGGAGTCTCTGCTGGCCTGCTCCGGGCTTCTGGGGCTAAGGGGGGAGGGCAGAGGAGGTGTGAAGTCTCCAGGTTTTTGCATGTGCGCCTGGTCGGTGCATGTTCTGCTGGGTATCCCTGCTGTTTGTCTCGCAGACACAGGGCACGAATCGTATGCAGGACAGATTTCCGGCCATCCCCCCCGTCGCAGAGAAGAAACCCGAGGAGGTGCAGCAGGGAATTGGGATCCTGACTTGAAGGTATCCCGATGTTTTGATTTTTTCAAAGCAGAAAGAGTGGTCCCCAGCCATGTGGCCAGGCTCGAGACGGCCAAGGAGAGGAAAAGCTACTGGCCTTTGCCAAAGGTTTGCAAAGCTGGCCGGACACTCAGGGAAACCGCGAGTCAGTGTCCCCTAGCAAGAGCTGTGTGAGGTGGCTGCCAGGGCTGCCAATGAGCCCAGTTGAGAGGCTGGGGCTTTTGGAGCAGATCACCGCCTTCGTGTCAGCTATGGCCCTATCGGAGTCGCGGAGCTTTTGGCCTTGCTACCGGGGCCATCTGCTCTTGCCGCTCATCCCGCGATTTCACGAAAGCCTTCCGGCCTTTGCTTGGCCGTCCTTGGGTGGTTCCAAGAAGGTCACGGACGTCGTCCTGCTGTCTGCAGCCCCCCAGCCCAAACCCGTCAAGAAGGGCCCGCCTGTTTTGATGCGAGCCGCGACGGCGCTACAAGCCAACTGGGCAGATGCTGTCCGAGATCTTCGGGAAACTGCTGGCCGACTGGCCGTTCATGGCGACGAGCTGCTGCGAACCGTCCGCGAGGCCCTTTCGCTGGTCCGGGAGATGCTCTCCCGGAGTCCGAGCGAAGCGATCTCCAAGGTGGCTCAGTCTGAGCGGATCTTAGGGCATTCCGTGGATTCCGTGGGGGGGGGGGGGGGGGGGGTGACCAGTTCATCCCCGTCCGAGGCGGCCTTGCATGGTGCCGAGTCGGCCTTGGAGGGAGTGGCGCCGAAGATCGAGGCTCGGACAAGCCGACTTCTGACTGCTTCGACACATGCTTTAAGGCTTTAGCATTTTTAATTCCGTGATCGTTTTCAGACCACAGCCCATACAGTTTCTACCCCAACCATTGCGAATCCAGTCAACCCGCTCCGGTAAGCATGATGACAATGAGCCATTTCCAGGAATGGCAGGGTGCTGCTGCAGAGGCGATGAACTGGGTCACGCAGGAGGACGTGCGACAGAAGGCCGGGGCAATGCTCTCAGAAACACATCCCGAGGGCATGTTGATTGTGCAGGAGCGAGTGGCCACATCGCGGAGCATTCATCAAGCGTTGAAAGAGGCCTGTCGAACAGAGCTCGTTTGATTCCAGAGGGCGGCCGTTCTGGACGAAACTTTTCTTTTGACTTGCAGATGCCTTCCACGTCCTCGACGGTCGCTTCTGTGTCGACATTGAAGATCCCAGCTGACATCATTTCGGGAGAGGTTCAAGACATAGCGAACTTCGGCGGCACACTGACACTTGCGCCCCAATAAGTGCGGCACGAAGTCCTGATCAGTCGATGTAAAGCTAAGGAGAGCAGGCGAGATGCTCTTGGTCTCTGCTAGTAACACGCAGTCCAAAAAAGGCCAGGTGCTGTCTACACTGCTTGGAAGCTGTGGTACGGGACTCAACTGCATGATTGCAGTCTGAGCAGCTGTTTTCACACAACGGCAGTTTAGCGGATGCAAGATTTGAGGTAGTTGAGGTAATTGGATGTTTGTTGAAAGTCTAGACCTTGCAAGATTGCTGCGCCAGTAGTCTCCTGCAGCTTCATATCTCTTTTGATTCTTGGAGGCTATCTGTACCTGCTGGAGAACTGCAGTGGGCCATCTCCAACATGTTCTGTGGTGGTGGGTGAGGCTCCGGCTGCGTTCAATAGTGCGATTGATCAGGTCTTCTCTCGCAGAACCCGCAGCACGGTCCTTCACCAAACGAAACACGATATGCAAGTCAGTGTGTCTCGGTGACCTATGCGAAAGTCATTGGAATGAGTGGAGTGGTGCTGGAAGCCAGAATCCTTCCTATTTGATGTGTAGAGGAATTGAGGTACTTAGCGCCGAAGAGAAGGTGTTTAGCGTCGTTATGGCCATGTCGCAGTCAGTGATAGAAGCTCGCGTTTAAGTTGCTATAACTATTGAGTGTGCACGAGGAGTTGTGTTCAGACATTGGGAGGTTATGTAGTCATGGACACGTCTCTGCATCTTACAAGCAGAACATCGCGGAAGATGGCCCCGTTCTGCGTGTAGTCCAGCAGACCCGTAGCCATAGCCTGAGAACACACGAGACGAACATCCGCTCGAGTGTAGTGGGTCGGTCCTAGGCAAGCAGAAGGAAGGGTTTAGGACATGAAATCCTATATGCCCAGATCCTTCATTGCACAACTAACCAAGCCTCCCATGTGGCAGAGGCATCAGAGTTCAAAGCACTTCAACAGTCAAGTACACGGGCCCATGTGAACGTCTCGGCGCTGTGAGGAGTCAAGCGTTGGCTGCGTGGATGGTGCTCTCAGGGATGCTCTTTTCGGCGTCTTGCCCGCACGAGAGACTGCGGCCCGTCGAAGATGTCGGCCACTGAGGTCAGCTTGCCGTGGGACTCTGCGGATGCAGCTCGGAATGGGCACAAGTGCAGCTCGACAGCTTGGAGCGTGTTCTAGCATTCTAGCTTGAGGCGAGGATGGAAGCTTCCTTGTGGCCGACATCTCCAACCACCGCATCCGTGGCTCGGCGAAGTGGAGAGCTGCCACGTTCTGTGCTCACACTGCGCTCTTTCAGGCCGAGTTTCCAAGACTTTGGAGGTGAAGGTACTGGCAGGCTCTGGGTCTAAAGGCGGCGTGGGCCAAACTCGACCTTTCAGATCTCTGCAGGTTTGGAACATGTGGGAACCGTCTGTGCATTTCCCACAGGTCAAAGAGACGGGAAAATGGCTTCAGCTACCTTCTCGTCTCCGCGCGCACTGATCTCGCTTGGCGACACAATACTCATCACGGAAGCCGCTCGGTCCGGAGTCGAAATAGACATCCGCAAACTCTCCATCATGAGATGGCCTTTCCTTGTGATTCGCCACTTCTTTGTTGTTCTGAGGATGGCCATCCTGGAACGGTCCGCGTTTTGGAACAAGGCCATGGGGGCTGGGGTCACCCGGCCCCGTGACTGCGCTTATTGCTCTGCACTGCAGGTTTGGCCGATTCGATTACTATACCACTAGGTCGCCAGCAGCAACAGATGCAGGACGAAGAGGGAGTTCAGGTCTTGGTTCCGGAGGTGTGATGACCGCTTATTTTTCGATTGTGCTTTGCCTGACCCCCCCCCTCCACTGACTGCTCGTAGCTCTGTTTGGCTTCTGACAATCCGCCTCCCCTGCTTTGTGTCTCATGGCAGCGCGGCCCTCTTCATTTTCTTGTTTGACTTGTTCGCTGTTGGCAGCCCTCTTTGCTACCATGATCGTCGCTGCTGGAGTGTTTTGAGGTATGATGCATCACTACTGCTGCTGATACTACTAGGAAGACGACTACTACTACTGCTGCTAATGC